TTTCCAGAAATAATGGTGCTGCTATTTCAGGGGCTGGAAGAGACAAACATTGACTTCTTTTTTAAAAAAAAAAAGTGGGGGGGGGGAAGAAGGGGAAATATGTTCAGAATTATGTAATGAGAACGTCTGAGCCAAGGGCAGTTGCTCTATTATTATTCTTTGTTGGTATCTGAATAAAATCCTGGGCAAGGAAAACAAACCTTTTTGCTTGCTATAATATTATGACGGGAGTTCGATAATCAAAGATAGTCAGAAGTTGGCTGTATCAGGCCGATCAAAGGTTAACCTATTTTCTTTACATCCCTTTCACTGTATCCTTCCAGTAAAATAAGACCTTAAGTAAGTTGCTTTAACAGGAGTTCTCCCCTACGCAGATACCAACATGTTCTAGAATAGAATAACAGAGTTGGAAGGGACCTTGGAGGTCTTCTAGTCCAACCCCCTGCTTAGGCAGGAAACCCCACACCACTTCAGACAAATGGTTATCCAGCATCTTCTTAAAAACTTCCAGTGTTGGAGCATTCACAACTTCTGGAGGCAAGTGGTTCCACTGATTAATTGTTCTAACTATCAGGGAATTTCTTCTTAATTCTAAGTTGCTTCTCTCTTTGATTAGTTTCCACCCATTGCTTCTTGTCCTGCCCTCAGGGGCTTTGGAGAATAGCTTGACTCCCTCTTCTTTGTGGCAGTTCACACAGTGATCCTGGATACCTGTTCCTAATTGTACACAGGTAGTCCTTGACTTACAACCATTTGTTAGAAACTGTTAGAAGTTACAATGGCACTGAAAAAGTAACATATGACTGGTCCTCACACTTACAAGTGCCACATCATTCCCATGGCCCTGTGACCATGGGTGCATGGCAATCATGTATTTAAACTAAAGAGCAGTGGTTAGAATCCAGTATTGCAGGCTACTACTGCTGCCTTCTGCCTGCCTGCCAATCTGGCAGTTTGAATCTCACCAGGCTCAAGGTTGACTCAGCCTTCCATCCATCCAAGGTTAGTAAAATGAGGACCCAGATTGTTGGGGGCAAGAGGCTGCCTCTGTAAACCATTTACAGAGGGCTGTAAAACACTGTGAAGCAGCATAGAAGTCTAAGTGCTATTGCTATTTACGATAGTTGCAGCGTCCCAGGGTTATGTAATTACCATTTGTGACTTTCTCATCCAGCTTTCAACAAGCAAAATCAATCAGAGAAGCGGGATTGACTTAAGGACTGCAGTGATTTGCTTAACAACTGTAGCAATAAAGATCATCAAATCAAGATGTCATGCTTCATAACGGAAATCCTGATCCCAATTGTGGTCTTAAATCGAGGACTGTCTATACAAATATAATTCCTAATTTTTAGTGACCTATTATATATTTCTAAGTAAAGATGTTTAGATTAGCATCTCCAAAGCTCGGAAATTTCTGAAGAAGACAAAATGGGCTGAAGGTTATGTTTACTACATCACTATCTTACCTCTCCTCCAAAATGCTTAAAAATGTCTACTTTGCCTCCTTCGTTTTAGTTTTACAATAAATAAGGTAAAGGTAAAGATTCCCTTGCACATGCGAGCACCGCCCCCCTAGTTGTTTCTGGCTCTAGGGGGCAGTGCTCATCTCCGTTTCAAAGTCAAAGAGCCAGCGCTGTCCAAAGATGTCTCTGTGGTTATATGGCTGGCATGACTCAACACCGAAGGCACATGGAATGCTTTTACCTTCCCACCAAAGTGGTCCCTATTTTTCTACTTGCATTTTTTAAATTTGCTTTCAAACTGCTAGGTTGGCCGAAATTGGGACAAGTAACGGGAGCTCACCCCGTTACACGGCACTAAGGATTCTAACCGCTCAACTGCCGACCTTCTGATCAACAAGTGTCTTGGCCACTGAGCCACTGTGTTTCAATTTACAATGAATACATACGGTCAATTAGGAAAAGTGAGAGATCATTATTTGATTTCTATATGGCACTAGTATTATGGTTTTTGTTTAATTGTACTTAGGAAATAAATGACATTGGTTTTTTTTTTACAATATGCTAAACCAAACCAAATAAAGGGTTTAATGTGATGTATGAACAATATTTTGCACTAACCCAAATAACTTTATGGCTAAACTGAACCTGACATTCCTTGGGTCTTAGTCCCAAATTATAACATTTATACACCACTGTATAGAACAAGGAGGCAAGCTAATACCTTCTAAGCATTTCGGAATGCACTTTCCATTATCACTAGCTAAGAATTTGAAAATAAGTTGGTGCAGGAACACGTCCAGTTTCCAGTCTGTCTGGTCCTCCAGTTTCAGAATAGAAGGAAGATTTCTTTTATTGATAATGGGTGGATTAGGGGGATCATGTTGACATTCAATCCAGACAAGATGGAATGGATAAATATGACTCAAAGTTTAACTTTGATTAGACAGTGTTCCACTTCTCCTGAAAGTACCAGCCCTCTCTGTTTGGGAGTGCTTTTTGATGCTCAGGGATTAATTTTTTGCACAGCCATATCTAGTGTGATAAATGTGACCCTTCCTGGGCTGATCAGATTCAATATCTTAGCCTTGGATGCATTCATCTTAACTATCGCAGCACACTTGCATCAGGCTACCGAGAGCTAGTGGGATGCAGTTAAAAGGACAAATGAGAACCCGAAGGATCAGTCTTCAAGTCTAAAGACCATTCAAAAGAGAAAATAAAAAAGGTCAAAAAGGGAACACAAAGACCAAAAAACCCCTCAGCAGCAATCAACACTCAGATGAGCAGAGATTAACCCCAGGATTAATATTACCCTAACAATCAATAAGTAAAGTAAACCCTAATTAAGGAACTGCCAAGCAAACCACCAAAACCAAACCAACCAACCCTGACAGAGCAAGTCAGTAGGATGTAAAAGGAGAACAAATCTCACTCCCTAGTAGCACTGATGATAGTACCCAGTTTGGTAATGAAACATCTGCAAGAAAACAACTATGTTCAGAGAACACCAAGGACTTCTCATTTTTTCCAAGTCTCCCATCAACTATAGAACTACACACAGGATACTTTGCACTACCCACTCTTCATTTCAGATCAAGAAGAAGGATGCTATTGGAGCAGGAGCTGCTGTGCATGCTAATCTTACTTTTTATTTATTTACAAAAAAAGCAAAAATGAATGAATGAAAGGTGCAAAATTCAGCAGCTAGGCT